GAGAGAGAGATTTGTATATAAAATAGTTTGTAAATAGCATAACTAAAGACATCTATAGTTGCATTTACACATGAATTAATAACATAATTAACAATACATTCCTTAACATTAACGATGTTAAGAATAAAAGGTTTGGTGTGGGACACAAGTATCATAATTAATCTGGTTAATTTTTCCTGAATAAACACTCAAAATTGATAATAAAATTGTATTAAAAGTATTTTGTTTTGCGAAATAATATCTCATAAAAAACTGGATTATGAATAGATTTAAGTTTATCCAACTCTGAATTAAATTCCACATTATTTATGATAATAGACTTATCGATTGACCACTCGTTATATTTGGCCAACACTTGCCGACACTCAGGCCGTTGTCTCCACATAATTGCCATCATTTGTTGAAGTATTTCATACATACAGAGTATAGATGTCTTGAATACCGATTCCTTGGCTTCAAATGATTGGGAACTAAAAATCAATGTAAAATAAAAATAACTGTAAGATTTAATTTTTAATTAAAAATAATTGATAAAAACACTTACGCCTGAAAATCAATGGCAAACAACTGTTCGCCGATTGCGTGAAGACTAAAAATATCTGATTTATGACTATATGGTTTACCCGACAGTACTTCGGGTGCTATGTATCCAAAGGTGCCGACAGATGAGTGTTTGTATCGGCTTTCGGTGTGTAGTTGGGGGTCGTGTTCGGTGGCCAAACCAAAGTCACACAGTTTTACACAACGATTGGATCTAAAGTTGGAATCAATTAATATATTTTCAGGTTTGAGATCCCGATGAATGACCGGCGGATCGGATTCATGAAGATATTCAACACATTCTAAAATTTCCTTAAATATTTCACACGAAATGAAATATTCAAACACACTATTCATGTGGTCTTCCGGTTGTCTCTCGAAGACAATGGGTTTGTCTTTGAGAACAGATTTAAGACTTTGCAAACAGAACTCCATTTGAATGAAGAGATGATTGGACTCAAGCCATGAGTTGTAATATTTGACCACAAAATCTGAGTCTAGTTTTGCCAAACTTTTCACTTCTTTCATAACTTTCTGTTTCTTTTCTTCACTAAAATCTATTAAAATATTTAATTAAATTTTGTTCATATAAACAAATAGTCACTGAATTTACCTCCAAATTGCACTCTTTTAACGGCATATNCATATATCTTATCATCCAATCTATGCTTTACTTTAAATACAGTCCCAAAACCACCCGAACCTATGGCTGACATCTCAATGAATTGGGTTTTATAGATACCATCACTTGAATTATCATGAGTTGTGCATTCATTTGCTAATAAAATTGCATTTTTATTGACTTCTTTTAAATTAATTGTATTATAAGTTATTTGGTATTCATTTGCGTAAAAATCAATGAAATTATTATAATTAACTTTGATTAAATTATGTTCATTTGTTATTTTATATAATTTATTATTAATTAAAACACATATTAATTTATTATGTCTATAATAAATCCATGATTTAATTTGTTGTAATTCCTGAAAATTATGTTTAAGTAATATTTGTTTCGGAGTTTTTTCAACTAATTGTTTATTATTTTTATAATATTTTCCACAAAAATATAAACCATTTGTTGTTAGAAAATATGTTTCAAAAAGATTGCAACTAATTGTGTTTACATTCTTCATGTTTGATATGAATCGGGGTTTCAATACAATTTCATCGGTTATATTGTGTCCCAACATATGATCAGTATTTTCACCCCAACTGAAGACATTTCCGTTGGATGTGATGGCAAATGAAGAGGAATAACAACAATAAATGGATTGTATTTTATAAATATTCATAACAATAAACCACTTATTAAATAAGAGATTAATTGGTGTAGAAATATATTCATATTTTATTCCACACCCAATTTGTCCCCAATCATTGCTACCCCAGGCGTAGACCCGGCCATCACTTGTGAGGGCCAGTGTGTGATCAGAACCACAACTGATTTGCACCACATTCTTATCATTAAAGTATGTTATTATCTCTGGTGTAAAATAATTAGTAATTCTACTTTTTCTACCCTGGCCCAATTGTCCACGGTCATTACATCCAAACCCA